GCACATTCATAGTGCATCGATGCATCAAGGTTAAAACCCAAAAATTGTTTGAAGGTGTATCGATGCATTGGTAGTGCATCGATGCACTCTTTTAAAATAAAAACATCGAATGCAATTCATGCATCGATGCATAAGTAGTGCATCGATGCATCCCATTAATAATGAAACATTGAATGCAATTGGTGCATCGATGCATAAGGAGTGCATCGATGCATCCCAGCAATAATAATACATTGAATACCTTTTATGCACCGATGCATCAGTAGTGTATCGATGCATACCTTCATTAAAAGATGAAATTGACTTTTCTCTTAGTCTAAAGAGTGAACCATTAGAGTATATTAGTTATAATACTGATATAAATCCATGTGTGATTATGTAGATACTAAAAGTAAGCTTATTCCGGAACGATCAAAGGATTAGAATCGAATCAAAGAAAAGCTAAGGTGAGTGCATACTATATGTATATTATAATGGAATAAGACTTGTGATAAGTCTAATCCCTAAGTTGATTTTTATAATATAGTAGTGGTGAACATGCATACATGATAATTATTGTGATACATGCATAAGACATATATATGTTCATGTGATATGATATGTGATATGACATGTTATATGAAAACATGATATGAAGTGATATGAGATACATGATCACAAGAGAAATAATATGAGTACATTAACATATGAAATATAACAATAATGCCCATAGTATACGATATAAGAACTATAGGTGTAATTGGCATGCCAAGAGTCGAGGGTATAATAGTCCTTCGGGATGTAGTCCTTCGGAATGTAAGGGTCCTACGGGACATAGATAATAGTCCTACGGGACGAATACTGAACTAAGGTTCGGTGCCCCATGAGGAAATTGATTTGAGCTGTGGTGACAGCATTAGTGCACAACCTCAATGTACTCACATATCTCTATTCTCAATAATATACATGGGTTATACAATTGAAATGCATATTTACAGTGAAAGTGATACAAGAAGGTAAGTTTCGTATGTGCATTATATGTTATCGTGCGATAGATACATGCATGTTGAAATGTCATGATCTAATGGTAAGTATGAACATTCATAAGTTTATTGTTGCATATTCATTTATTGCCTCACTAAGTCTATGACTTAGTGTGTAAGTGATTTACACGTAGGTACCAAGAATCAGGAAAAGTGGAAATAGAAGTAGCACAGACAACAATATTACTAAGAGATCATATCAGAAGTAATTGACAAAGTATGTACTTGGTTATGTATAGAATGTTGGCATGTAATAAGTGTTAATTACGAATACTTTGATCGATTTTGTATTTTATGGTCTTTTTTAAATTAAAGTATTTCGTTTTAATGAAAGTTTTAAAAATTCCCGGGATTTTCTATAAGAGTCAAGGTTTTGAAAAGTCAATGTGACACCTCAGACTTGTATTCGGGTCGGATATGAGTTAAGGGTGTTACATATACACTATATATCTGACTTCTGAATATTGTGATATCAATATTAATTTGCATGTTGATGCATTTATGATATATGTATAAGATCCTCTATGGAGGGCATAATCCCCATCCTGATTCTACATGGGATTTATTTTTTGTCTGATTCTGCATGGGACATCGTTACTCGTTCTGAAGTCTGTATGGGATAAACTCCCCGTTCTGACATCTGCATGGGATAAATTCCCCGTTCTGACATCTGCATGGGATTATATCTCCGTCCTGACTCTGTTTTGTTGAGAAACTAGATTGAGCTTCAATATTCAAGAAACATTGAATTTATTCTTATTGATTTCAGTAGCCAGATACATTGCTTTATAGTAGCTAATAGAAGCTTAGCACAAGTCTAGAAGCTTTACAACTAGCTCCACTAGTTTCTAACAATTCTAACTCCCTTAACTAACCTTAACTGCTTAGCTATTCTAATATTCCCTCTACTTTCTCCTCTTCCTTCAACAAGGTAAGACACACATCCTTCCGTTCGACTTGAATCGGAAGTGTTGATGCTTTCTTCCGTTTGAATTGAATCGGAAGTGCCGATGCTTCCCTCCGTTCGACTTGAATCGGAAGTGCCGATGCTTCCCTCCGTTTGACTTGAATCGGAAGTGCTGATGTTTCCCTCCGTTCGACTTGAATCGGAAGTGTCGATGCTTCCTTTCGTTCGACTTGAATCGGAAGTGAACTTTTGATGTGAACGAACATTCAACAAAAAAATTCTTAAAAAAACCTATTCTATAACAACAATGTTTCGCAGCTTAACTACTAACAGTTCTTCATCCTCCTTGCGGTTGGGCATCATCTACAATAGTGATTACAGAGAGCGTCTTATCAAAATGATACCAACAACGGTTGGCCAAATGTCCGTTTTTGCCACACAACTGGAATTGGAAACGAGAACGACCTCTAGCACGACCACTACGAAAGGATTGCGTTTGACCACCTCGTGAACCAGAGATATTGACTGCACCAGAATAATTCACAACCTCTAAAGCAGAAGCTTGAGCAACGTTAGTACTGATGCTCAGACCATCAAATCGGTCAAAACTTTGATGCTGAAGCTCAACATTAAGAAGAATCGACACAACGCCATCAAATGTGACAGGGCCTCGACTAACGGTAATCACAGCGACAAACGAACGGTATTCAGTTGGTAACCCACTCAAGATTGTAGGAACCTTCTCATGCTTGAACACCAGACTCTCACACGCGACCAAATCATCACAGCTTTCTTTGACTTGTGAGATATAAGAACGCATGCTCAGCTCTCCTTTCTTAACTGCTTTCAACCGGTAATGCAGATTCATTATGGTAGTGATGGATTTACTCGCAAAAAAATTGTTTACGGCTGACCAGATCTCTGTCGCGGACTCCGCCCCAACCAGCTGAAGAAGAAGCGATGGACTAACAGTGGACAGAAACCACAACGCTAAAGCACTATCTTGTACAATAAAGACCTCATAATCTTCGTTTTCCACCACTCTCCCGTCATCAAGGATCACCGTCTGAGGCGGAGGCTGAACCAAGCCATACAACAGCTTCTTCAATCGGTGACTACGAACAACGAGAAGAATATGTTGTTTCCTCAACAAGAAGTTGAGTTCATCAAGAACGATACTAATCTTCTTGTTAGTGAACAGCTTGGAGTGAACCACCGTTTCACCACCGGAGGTCGTCGTATCCTCAGAACTAGCTCCATGAACCATGTTGTGAGTGAAAGAATAAAAAACGGAAGCACCAGGAAGTACCAGAATCGACAGCGAATGATACCATGTTGAGAAGCTAGATTGAGCTTCAATATTCAAGAAACATTGAATTCATTCTTATTGATTTCAGTAACTAGATACATTGCTTTATAACAGCTAATAAAAAGCTTAGCACAAGTCTAGAAGCTTTGCAACTAACTCACAATTCTAACTCCCTTAACTAACCTTAACTGCTTAGCTATTCTAATGTGTTTGGGATCCTCATATGAGGGCTAAATTTCCATTCTGATTTTGGTATTCAGTTTTCGATATCTCCTTGTAAGGTAATGTGCATATTCTATTGATTCGGAACGAAAGGTAAGATTGCTAATTTCTGTTGGGACATTCTGCTGGTAAAATATCTAAATTTTAATATTGGTCGATTATTATTTTGTTTATTATTTATACTTGAAATTTTTCTGCGTTGCAGTATTATCTGATTAAATTTTAGAGGACACATTGAGCATTGTAGCTCACTCCGTTTCTGTCTTTCTTTTTCATATTGTCTAGATATATGACCAGTTTTGGCTATCGAAAGTATTATCTCGATTATACACTGTATGTGGTTTAATATTTACTTTTAAGCCTTCTTAAAATGTGGCATGAGTTTATTTTTGATTTTATAATTGGTAAGCATTTTCAGAACGGCTTATTAAAAATTTTCGTTCGTGGATCGTATATGTGATCAACATGGTCACCTTGATTCAATTGTAACTCCTATATTGGGTCTAGAGAATTACAATTGGTGTCTATGGTGGCAAAATACATTGGAAAAAGATGACGACTACAAATGTATAAAAAAATCTTAATTTCAAAGAAGAAGATGCAGTAGAATAAAAAATTATTTTTTAACTCCCATGTCAACACATATTAGCACCAAACTATTATCAATAGTTTAACTGCCCAATATTTTAATTGAACCTAAAACTAAAAATTAAATGTTAAAATCGAATTAATTTAAAATTCAATGATGAATTAATACAAAAAAAAAACTAATGGTAAGTGAGATTTGAATAAAAACATGGTTGATAGGAGTTTGAAGGAGGAGGTTGGTTTGATCTGCCGTATAATATTAGTCCTAAAGTCAACAATGACATTTAGCTTGAAACAGCTTAGGCCTAGCACCGTGTTACCTGATCCACACATGCAAACGGTTCCGATGGTCAAGACTCGAAAACAAAGGTAATTAGCCAATCCCCGTACTATTATTATTCAAAATTTAATAATCGTATACGAATCAAACAATCTCGATAATAAAAAACATTTTTATTCTTTAGATTTCGAATTCAAAAATTAAAAATGTTAGAGATATAAACGTTTAATATTAAATAACTAATTGCGTTTACCTCATATTAATAAAAAAAAATTAATAATGGTATGATAGATAATGAATAAATCAACCTCGCGGGGTAGGTTTTCAGGGTCGGGAGACGAATAATTCAGATATCCAAGTCGACCCGTCAAACTCGCTACCTCAAAGACATGTTCAAACAAGCTTTGGTTTACTCGTAAGCGGAAAGGGCAGTGTTTTACCATTTCCAGTCCAATTCTTTTACTCCTTCAAAAATGGTTTTTTTTTTCTTTTTCAATGGTCAAAATTCAACACTCGCATCCCCTAAAACCTTAAATTAATTTCGTAGCATTTGGGTTTTATTACTAATAATCCAATTTGAACGCTTCTCGATCTTCAACCATCCTTTCGTGTTCAAGTCTGGACTTTGAACACCGTGTAATAGATCCCAGATTCAGCTCAATATAAAAACCTCAAGAAGCTCCCTTTATCCTTCACAAAATCAAGAACAAATTAGCCCCTTGCCTTTGAATTCATTAGCTCTGATATAATAACCTGTGGCAATGGTTTTCAGTTGGAGAAAAAGAAAACCCAGAAATGGAGATAAAAAAGTGCATCATATGGAGCTTGAGATCCCAAGGCATTTCATTTGCCCAATAGCTCTTGATCTTATGAAGGATCCGGTCACAATATCTTCTGGGATGACTTACGATCGAGAAAGCATCGAGAAATGGCTCGAAGAGGGGAATTTCACATGCCCCGTTACGAATCAAGTCCTTACAAATTTCGATCAGATACCCAATCATTCTCTCAGGAAAATGATCCAAGATTGGTGCGTGGAGAACCGGAGCCACGGCGTTGAAAGGATCCCGACGCCGAGAATCCCCGTCAGCTCAGCCGAGGTCTCCGAGGTTCTGTTTTCGGTTACCGATTCGAAGAGACGATTGGACCGATGCGAGTGTCTGAATTCCGTTCATAAAATCAAAAAATGGGGTCTCGAAAGCGAGCGAAACAGGAGATGCATCGTTGCGAACGATGCCGCCGGGGTCCTCGCCGCGGCGTTCGACGCATTCGCAAGCGACTCGGTGGAGAAGAATGCCAATGTGTTGGAGGAAATATTGTATGTAATGAACTGGATGTTCCCACTTGCTGAAGCTCAATTGCTCCTTGGATCAAAACCTTCCTTGCGTTGCATGGTTTGGTTTTTGAAATCAAACGACATTTCAGTGAAGCAAAACTCCATTAACGTCCTGAAAGAGCTTACTTCTTGCGACCAGCTATACGGAGAACGCTTGGCCGCCATTGATGGAGTCATTGGAATCCTATTCAAGTTCATTAAAGACCCAATTTCTCCTTTGATCACGAAAGCTTCTCTCATGGTCATTTACCACATGGTTTCATCACCAAACGAGAAAACCAAGGCTGAACTTGTGGAAATGGGTCTGGTTTCTTTACTATTAGAATCCATAATCGAATCTGAAAAGAGCTACTGCGAGAGGGCTTTAGGTGTTATAGACAAACTCTGCGAGACCAAACAAGGGAGGGAATCTGCTTACGATAACGCTCTGGCAATGCCGGTTCTGGTGAAGAAGATATTGCGTGTTTCGGAACTGGCAACCGAGTACTCTGTTTTGGCCATATGGAAGCTAAGCAAATACGAAGAAAAGGTCTTGATTGAAGCTCTTCAAGTCGGTGCATTTCAAAAGCTCTTGTTGCTCATACAAGTCGGGTGCAGCGGTGAAACCAAAGAGAAAGCAACTGAGCTTTTGAAGTTGTTGAATCCTTACAGACCTGGATTGGAGTGTATTGATTCTCAGGATTTCAAGAACATCAAGAGATCTTTTTGAGTTTTTTCTTCTTGTTTATCCTTGCAAATTCTTTATTCTTTGAAAATCCAAGCTGAATGTGCTTGGGTTCATTCATTTGGGGGTTTCATTTTTGTTGTAAAAAGAAAAAAACTAATGCATCACATTTTTAGCAGAATAATTTGTTGTTTTTGTTCTTTTCGTTTAACCATACTGAAATCGAATCGTTTGCAAATTTGGGGAATCAACATGAACATAAGGAGATGCTGTCACTAGTAACCTTGACGGACATTTCCAATTCAAGTTGAGATCAATGATTCAACCACAGAACCAGACATAAAGAGAGGAGTTCATTAAACTACAAGGAAACGAGTTTGCGTGAAAATGATTTGATTTGCCAATATTCAAATGTAACAAAAACACGAGTTGACGCTAACGTTAAAAATGTGAATCCACAACCTCATCGATTTGATTAATTGATTTTGTTTCGTTTTTTTCAAAATTAAAAAGAGTACAATACGGTTTGGACCGTCAAATTGACGCATTCAAACCGGTTGATATTATAGATGCAAACCCTAAACCGATGATGGGCTTCAAGTCGGAAGCAAGCAAAGCAAAGCTGCGCGTAATTTGACTTTTGTGTTCAAATCATATGAGAAAGCGTTGAATTAGAAGACCTCCCATTTCTTTTTAGAGAAAATAATCTCAGTGACCGAAAATGCCTTACAATATACGATTTTAATCAATTTTTTTTAGATTTGCCAAAATGACCAACAAAATCGTAACGCGAACTCTAATTTTTTAACTCAGTTTTCAAATTCGCAACGCGATTGTAAGATTCGTAACGCGATTGTAAGATTCGCAACGCGATTTTGAAAAATGTGTTGCGATAGTTAAAATGTGTTGCGAGAGTTTGAAAAACGTGTTGTTGCGATAGTGAAAAAGTGTTGCAATAGTGAAAAATCCAAAATAAGTTTACATTTTAACTATTACAAATTCACGTAGAGTTTGAAACAATAAAGAATGTGTTGCGATAGTGTAAAAGATTCTCAAACCATTTGTAAGATCTTAGTTTGAAACAATAAAGAATGTGTTGCGATAGTGTAAAAGATTCCCAAGTGTTTGCAATGCTCAATCCCACATAGTATTGGAAACACTATTGGGAATGGGTATTTAAGGCTTGAATTTCTCACTTCCTTGTTGAGTGGAAGAGAACAAGGGGGACTCTCGCGCACCGCCGTCGTCCCGTCCCGTCTCGGGTCGTGGTTGTGGTCGTGGTAATACATGTCTTCGACACGTTCGCGCAGATATTATCTTTTTAGAGAAAATTCTTAAGAAATCGCAACGTGAACTTGGACTATCGCAACGAATTTGGAAAATCGCATTGCGATAGTCAGAATCGCGTTGCGGTTTACATATTTGCATTGCGAATCTGGAAACTGATTTGCGATACTGGAGATCGCGTTGCGATTTACATATTCGCATTGCGATTTTCTAAAATCGCAACCCGAATTTGGAAAATCGCAATGCGATAGTCAAAATTGCGTTGCGAATCTGGAAACTGATTTGCGATACTGGAGATCGCGTTGCGATTTAGAGATCGCGTTGCGATTTAGAGATCGCGTTGCGATTTAGAGATCGCATTACGATTTTGTTGGTCATTTTGACAAATCAAAAAAAAGTTTGTCAAAATCGTATATTATAAGGCATTTTCGGTCACTGAGGTTATTTTCTCTTCTTTTTATTAAGCTAAGATCATTATATATTATAAATATTCTTAATCATTTAATAATGAACGCTCAATCGCTCTGTTATAGTTATTGATGTTCGAATCTATAAGAGCAACAATGATTCCTTTAACCACTGAAATAAGTTGGTTCGTACTAAAAGCTCCAAATTTAATAACATATGATAATAACAATCTCTAATAAATACAAATTTTTTATTATATTCATGAGATTTAAGATTTTAAACTATTTATTGATGTTTTGTATTCGAGCATTAGGAATATCAAATGTGTGAATATTCAATGTCAAATGCTTAAGAATTATCTTTAAACAAATATTGTTTTTACCATAGATTAATAAAAAAGATTTTAAGTTATTGTATAAATTCTCTTTCGACACGTATATATTTTAATTATACTAACTAGAATGTAAAAATAATAATTTCAAAACAAATAAGATTTAAACATGTTGTTAAGATTTTTGTTATCATCTACAGAGACTGCGTATGTTGAATATAAGAATGTTTAACATATACGTAGAGCTGTAAACGAGTCGAGTCGAGTTCGTGTATTGTTGAGTTTGACTTGACTCGAATATTCTAAAATGAAACATGACTCGGCTCGAAAACTAGCAAACCTAAAATTTTAAAATTTGACTTGATCTCGAAACTAGGAAGTGAAGCTTGTAAAAGCTCGAAATGAAAAAAAACCTAAATTTAACTCGATTCAAGCCTCAAACTCGAAGTTAAACCTTAAATACAAGAAAACCTTATACTTTATTTTTTTAAAAAAAAGCCAACATGTAAATGTTAATATTATTAATAACTTATTTAAAAATAAAATCTTAATATATTATATTTTCGAGTTACTCTTAAATTTTTCTTATAAAATATTAAATAGTTTATTTCGACTCGTTAAGCATTTGAACAGATGTCGCTGGATTTTGCTGATATGGAGAAAAGGTCGAATCAATGGGTTGGAAAAATTTACAAATAGGATTTGGGGTTTTGGGCTTATTTCATTGTAGAGGCTTTAGAAGAAAGCTTTTTAAGGAAATATATAGAGAGAAAGAAGGCTTTTATATTGATTGCAAATATATTTTTATATTATATAGAAATTATTCACATTTTTTTAAATGTTTAATAATTAATATAATCATTTGAATATAATTTAATGGTTTTTTTTTATGTTTTTATTCAAGTTAAATAAAAAAGTTTGGTGGCATGTCTGTTTGGACAGAGCATAGTAAAGTGAAGGTACGACCAATGCACTACACTTAATATCATCTATAAAACTTGATCCGTTAATAATACACACGTACGCGTAATAAAATAATATTTGTTTCATGTTAAATTATAACATCTTTTATTCAATCAAAAACAACTATAACATCTTTTATCATTCTTTTATTTTTTTGTATATATAAAAATAAATTTTTCTTCCATTGGTACGATTTTAATTATTTGTTAGTATTTTTAAGTTGGAATGTAATTTTCATGATTTATATTTATAAATGTTGAATGAATATAAGCCATTGACTTATCCTCCTTCATGCAAACCATTTTTATATAGGTTTGGTTTGAAGATTATTTATTTATTTATTTTTTATATTTGAATTTAATCTTTAAGAAATAACAATAATTTATTTGACATTGAAATTGTTAAGTTGATGCATGGAGACCTTATTTGAATAGTAAACATGGAGACCTTATTTGACTTGACATAGGATAGAACGGAAAAAGAAAAGTCGTGTAAATCTTTGAGTACAAAGTCGGCGTGCTTGGCAAACAAGTCATATGACAATATGCTCACAATTCTACTACTGCTGCCCCACGAATACGTAATATTATCTTCCAAGTAATACACAAACCCTATAATTTAAAAATCTTGGAGCCCACTTCTCCTCTCTACCCTCTCACCTTCCTCGCTCAAGTCGACTCTTATCACGTATATATTCAAGGCTTCCTTTTCCTTGAACTTCATTTACTTTTTTCACTCAAAAAACCTTCCTTTTTCCTTCACATGGCAGTATCTCGTAAGCGACGCCAGATTAACCTCAGCCTCCGGCTTCTGTTGTCGGAGGTTTCCGATCACCGCCCCCGGTTCCCCCTCCCCCTCCCTCCATCTGCCACCACAAGCGCTGTAACAGCTTCTTCGGTTACTATCCCAGCAGCGGAGCTCGAGAGACTCGGAGTACTCGGCTACGGGAATGGAGGCACAGTATACAAAGTCCAACACAAGCGAACCTCCAAGATTTATGCACTGAAAGTTGTTTATGGCAACGGAGACCTGACGACACGTCGACAAGTTTACAGAGAGATGGATATTCTTCGAAAAATTGATTCGCCTCACGTCGTTCGTTGCTACGAAACGTACGAGAATCCTTCAGGGGATGTCGCGATTTTGATGGAGTACATGGACTCTGGAACTCTGGATACACTTCTCCGTAACAAGGGGACTTTCTCGGAGCCCGGACTTGCTCATATAACGAGGCAGATTCTAAAAGGATTGAGTTACTTGCATAGCCATAAGATAACTCATCGAGACCTCAAGCCTTCGAATCTGTTGGTGAACAAGAAGATGGAAGTTAAGATCGCCGATTTCGGAGTGAGTAAGATTATGTCACGGACGCTGGAAGCATGCAATTCCTACGTCGGAACCTGCGCTTACATGAGTCCCGAACGGTTCGACCCGGACGCTAACGGAGGTAACTACGATGGATTCCTCGGCGATATCTGGAGTTTAGGGCTTACTTTGATGGAGCTTTTCGTGGGCCACTTTCCGTATATACCGGCGGGTCAAAAACCCGACTGGGCTACTTTGATGGTCTCGATATGCTTCGGCGAACCCCCTGTTTTGCCCCCTAGTGCTTCCGATGAGTTCCGGAGCTTCATGGAGTGTTGCTTGCAGAAGGAATCTAGTAAGAGGTGGACAGCCTCTCAGCTTTTGGAGCATCCGTTTTTGATCAAGTATCCGGTCGCAGATAATTGAACCGACCTGACAACAAACAGATCGTGGGATATGGGATTAGATGGTCGAGTTATTTTGTATAGACAATAATTAAATCTGGATTCTAGTTTTTCTTTATCCATTTTGTTTCTGAATATTATTTCTTTATGTAACGATGGTAGATTCATTACATTGAAAATTAACTAGTTTCGATATCCAGGGAGGACGAAGGGGAGAATAGGTCGTAGCACATGTATTTTGATAACGATAGAAATGGTGTAAGGATGCATGAAGCCGAGCAAGGCAAGCTTAGCCAAATTAAAGCTAATGGTAATAGTTTCGAGTGGTAGCGTACCAACTCCCCAACTACCTTCTAGTTTAGTTTCACATCATTCATTTGTTCATCAATGACGACACACCCTCATTCCACGTCTCATTTTCTGCACTTCACTATCTAAAGTAGGCGTGCTTAATCAACGACTGCAGCATTTTTAACCCGATTCAGTAAAAGTTCAATTTAAATTAATTGGACTTAACTTAACGAATTGAGTCGAATAAAATTTAAATTAACTCGATAAATTAATGAATAATTTATTAATTTTTCTTTATAATTTTTTAATAGTTATCTTAAAAAAATCAAAAAAGTATTGGTTTACTAATAAATAATAATAAAATAGATAAATTACTAATCTATTAATGTTATAATAAACAATAAAAAATAAAAAAAATATTAATTAATATTTTACTACGTTTAAAAATCAAATCCTACTTATTATTTTAATGTTTTTCAGATTTTTACATTAAAGTTTAGATTTTGAAATTGTTTCATACAATATTTTAACAATTTTTGGTTAATTTTAATAATTTATATTTGTATTAAACTATATATAATATTAGTAGATTTTACTTATGGTTAAGAAAATAAAAAAAAATTCAATAAACTTAACAAGCAAAACGAGCATACAAAATAAAAATTTAAAATTCAGATCATAATTTTTCAAAATCCAGCAAATTTCTTAATGAACAACGAGCTCGAAAATTTTCAAAGCTTTTAATTAACCATCAAATTTTTAATTTTAAAATTTAGATCATAATTTTCAAAATCCAGCAAATTAAATCCAATTAAACTATAACAATAATAATCCTAGCCCCGGATGTGGGGGGTAACAGATTCCCCATTGCCATGTTTGCATACCCAATCTGCCATAGTTTGCCGTGAATCATGCATCGTTTGCACCCCGCAAGTCAACAGAATTCTTTGCCACTAAACACACAATGGTTCGACTTAATTATCACTCGTAACGATTCAACTTGAACTCTCACTTTAGAGTTATTCTAATAATAGTAATACAGACATATTGATATACAATTTGATAAGGAAACAAAACTCGTCAATCTTGATACTTGGCATCATCGAGAGCACTGTCTTGAGAGGTTTGTATTCTCGACTCTAAACATCTTAATCAGGGTCCAATACAACATAACATATCATATATCAAGGAAAGAGAACTGAAGTACCAATCTTTTACATCATGTATATTATGCTTAGGTTACAAAGTTTTGGATATTGATGTTAGAGACATTCTTGAAACACAAGGGTCTGTTTGGCAATGGCAATACAAAGTTTTTCTGCATCTAATGATCTACACCATTCGACGACTCTCGGTACTCTTGGTCCCTCACTTTGAATTCTTCATTTCAGCTTCCTGCTGCACAAGTTTCAAATAAAATTACTCAAATCAAATTTAGTGTAAATATGGATTGAACTCGCACATGGTGAGATTTGAAGTTGGAATCTTTAAGTTCCTCTATCTCTTCCATGTCACTAAGCGAAGGCCTATTCGTTGTTGCCATTGGTAAATGATTATTACTAAAGGCAATTATTGATTGAGAATAATGACCAGAAATACATCAGGTGAAAGGGGATTAGATCTGGCCAGGTCCCTGAGTTGAGAATGCATGCCGTTGATGAAGGCTATTGATTCCAGCTGAGGTTCCTCCATTGCTTCCTTTAGCTTGCTCAGGACCGAGCAGTATCCTTCCTGCATGTATGCCGACCATTTAAGTACGCCCTAACCTATCTTCTGCAGTCGACTATTATGTATGAGAGGAATAAAATAAAGGAGTGTACCATGAAGAGGTCTAACTCTGATTTGCCGTTTAGCTGCATGCTGTTAGAACATGTATTCTTGTTCATATTATTACTACTATCATAAGGCTCAGCTTGCCTTTGATTTCCCTTGCTGTTTCTGCCTCCATTGCCAATGCCACCAACCTGACCAATGTGAGGGAAAAAAACAGTAAATAACTGTATAGTAAAGCACTAACCTATATAAGCAAATGGCTATGAGCTTGAGACTGAATGTAATCTTTCCTAGCAGATATAATAGGTTATGCTGGTGAATTGGTTGATACAGAAAATGTAAATTTGGTTCTAAACTAACTAGAACCTACAAGGTAGCTAGGTTAATACTATAGAACATTAACCCTAATTACATAAACTAAATATCAATATCATGTATCATAAAGTTAACAATGAGTACTTCAACAAGATCGTAGGATGCGGTGAACGTTCAATGCTAGTAAAACCTAAACCCAAGGGTTTGGGAGAGAGAGAACCTTCAAGCAGTCGAGGTGATTCTCAACGAGCCTTCCATACAAAGGATGACTAGAAATTCTTCTCTTGAGAAGCTCAATATCGTCACTATCTTCACCTTCTTCCTCCTGGTGATGATCTTCACTCTTATTGGCCTCCATCTCCAGTTCCTATCTAAAAACAACTCCTTAGTTTTGCCATATTTGTAAAGCAAAAATGTTTAATTAAAGGGCTGAAGGAGTATCCCAGATAGCACTGTTGGTACTATCTGGTAACAAATTTCATTGCAAGATACAGAGATAGTCCCCATTTTCGGAATGACCCATGCATATCCTGAAAGTGGTTTCATCATCAGTCAGATAAACAGAAGAAACACACTCATTGAAAGTAGTTTTCTCCCCTTTCTCTGCAACCCTGCACTAACTCTCATTGTCTTTTTATAGCAACGAAAGGAACATTTCAAAGGGTGGGTTTCTCGAGTAATGGGGATGCGAAAGCTCGTACTAGTCTTCATTTGTACAGTTTTCCCGTCTTTATTTGACCTTTGCACTGCTCATTCTCCTCCCACTTTATGTGTGGCAGAAAATTCCAAATTTGTCACTGTTTAGCACGGTACTCTTTCATCACCTGGCCTTGTTCCCACTCTTGGAAAAGACCTTGTTCCTTAACTGTTCATTGCCTTCCCCATCACTTTTTGACATTGACAATTCGATACCTACTGCAACATATATATATATATATATATATATATATTTATTGATTAGTAAACTGGAATGCTTTTGATGGGGACAAGTAGAGAGGACGATCACTGTTTATGAGGGCTACAGGCTACAGCTACTCTCTAACCATTTCATGGTTTTTGGCAGATTGCATACATAAATGGGCTCTTTACTACTTCAATGTGTTCCATATCTGGAATCCTTTTCACATGCACCAGATTCAAATCCTACCCTAAATATACATATAACTCGAAACTACTATTTCAGATTTTTTTTATTCATAATTTAAGGGGACAGCACTCCATCTGTCAACTTACAGAAAGATTCTGGCTATCTTCAATGTACCAAAAGAGTTTTTTTTTTATAATCATATCTACTAAATCAATAGGTGGTGTTACCAATTCTCTTATCTAACCTAAAATAAAATATATGACATTGAAATAGACATGTTATATAGATTCGGAGACTTGGTGCTCAGTTTTGGGTTTGGACTGAGGTTGGGCCTTTATTCTTTCATTTGACCACTTGGGGATGTTGGCCTTTTTTTCAGGAATGAGTTTTGCACGTGATTAAAAAAATCCCCACTACTAGACATGTTTAAAACCAATCACAATTTACCATCCCTTTTTATGCTCAACCAAAGAAATGATCTTTGACCATTTTTCTCTTACTTTTTTTCCTTTAAAGAATTTTATAAAATACTTTCCTTTTAAAAGTTATTTTCTTTGTTTCTTTATCTTTCTTGGTGTAAACAACTTTCCGTGTGAGGCATGTTTAACTATATTTATTGTTTCTATCAAGACAACTTATCATTCTATTTAGAAACTTGCTCTTCAGTTGTTCCTTTAAATCTTGATTTAGCCAAAAGCAGGTGATCCGATTATGGACATGATGGAAAAGTACAGAAATGAATAATTATTTGCAGAAACCAAAATGTATGCATCAACGAGCTTAATGAATTGCACAAATATTACTGGTAACCAACGTGTGATCTATGGGTTTATTTTGATGTTACCAGGATTCGATTGATTTGTAGATACTTCGAGCAAAGAACTGGCGGACAACAACATGATGCTATGGACAAACTTCGAGCTATTTTTATTTATATATATATATATACGTACACGATGATGATGATGATGATGATATCAATATCATGTGAAGCTGTCGTATGAGAACGTGATCCCATGAGGCCTTGGAATACATACATACATATATATATAATTTTTGAAATATAGAATTGCAGGCGTCAGTGTCAGTCCAGCATTCAAATTGCCATAGAAAAACAACAAACTGTCTTGGAATCGGCCGACCATTCTTAAGACTAACTTTCTATGTGTTAATCAAACTGGCATAGACTCAACCGCTACTTCATTCCCATTTTTGTTTTTTTTCTTACATTTTTTTCCCAATGAAAAGCTTTTCCTGTTATCTCTCACTTGGTCTCTGTTTCTCTTAATGGATCCTCCATTGAGCCCCGGAACCTACTCTATTCCCTTCAAGGTTAGTTGTTTGTTAAAGTGCAGAATACTTGGTTTCTCTCTGCTTTCTGCATGTTTTGCTTAAGTTCTTGCTTTGTTTTATCAGACCCGGATGCAGTTTCATAGTGTTAATTAATGATCCATTTTAGTAATCTTAATTTGATTCAAAATTTCATCTTTGTATATTATTGATGGGATCTTGTAGATGGTCAAATTTTAGTATCTGATATGATCGTTAGCGGAGACGGTCTAGCGGTTGTTTAACTTCATGGAATTAGAGATAAATGATATAATGAATTATGTGCAGTGCCTTAGTATTAAGCATTTGATTATCTGTTATTTTGATTTTCTTGATGTGGTTTCAGAAGGAGACCTGGAAGCATACAATCTTTTTGTCATTCCAAAGCCTTGGAGTAGTTTATGGTCGCCTGAGTACTGCTCCTTTATATTTCTTTACTTCAATCCCTACACAGGAATTCAAATCCGATGAGAGTGCATACGAGTACTTGTCGTTTATCTTTTGGACGTTGATGAATTTTAACTTGGATGATAACTTGCAGGTGGTACTTTTGCTTTGTACTCACTATTGTGCAGGCACGGAAAAGTTGGTCTGCTCCCTAATAACAATAGCGATAACAACGTTATGCAATATGACGATGAAAGTCCTTCCGTAAACAAGGTTGAATCGAGAGCTCGAAGGGTTATCGCTAAACATAAGAGCAGTCATTACTTGATGCTGTTCATGGCCCTGCTCGGCTCTTGCATGTTAATAGCCGATGCAGTTCTTACACCAGCTATTTCTGGTTTGATAAACCTGTTCAAATTCTCTTCTTTTGTGATAGTTTTTCTCACCGAATGGTACTCTGTATTTATGTTTCCTTTTTTTCTATTTTCCTTCACCAGTTTTAGCGGCTTCATCCGGTATTAAAAGATCAATAATAGATGATAAATGTAAGGACCGGCAGTAATAAGTGCAACCTTATATTTGAACCATCCATCAACCTTTAGCTAATAACCTTCCTATGTTGATTTTGCAGATCCCTCTTCCAATGAAAGAGAGGAGTCATCAACGAGAAATATTAAGAGATGTAAGTTTTATGAAACTTGATATATTCGAATTTGATATTTCAAAAAATAATGGTTGAAGGATAATTGACGTCTCTGTTGTACTCTTATTTATTTCAGATGTTCCTGTGCCTGTTGCATGTGCCATATTGGTCTGCCTTTTCACAGTGCAACTGTAACACCCCAAAATACGAGTTAGTGACTAAATTGTAAAACTTCAGAATTTGGTGATTAAAGTAGAATAATTGGATAATTCAATGATTTATCTGGAAGGATTGTTAGTAATTATTAAAAGAATTAAAGGGCAAAATGATCATTTAACCATTAAATGATTAAATTGTGTTATGTTGAGGATATATACGGGGGAAAGGGATAAGAAGAATATCTCTTCTTCTCCTCTTTGTTCTTCCATACGAGAGAAAGCCACAACAAAGGTGAGTTTTCTATTTTCTTGGTTATTTGTTGTTTTAAAAGTTGGGTTATGATCACTAGATGATAATTAAGCTTAAGGAAAGCTTAATTTGTTCTAAAACAAAAAGATGAAGAATTTATAAGAGATTTAAGAAAACGTGTTTTATATGAAATCATGGAAAAGAGTTGATAAGTTGAATTTGAAGTTAAGTTTGACTTGTCATCATGCTAATTAAGGAGTATGAAGTGTTAGAATGATATTTAGAACATATTGAAATTTGAGTATGATTCTTGAATTACATATGAATGATAAGATTTTGAAGTTATAGATGATTTTCATAGATATAAGTTGGTTTAAGTAATGGTAGTTGAGTTTAATGACATGATAGGGGTTTAAAATAGAAGAATTAAGTGAAGAATTGATGATTTTCGGGGTTAAAATACAATTTCTGGGTAGAGGGAACCGATACCCTATGAATGGGAATCGATTCCCCCTCTTGGACAAAAAATTCCAGAATGTCCAGGGGGTATCGATTCCCCTGGGGGGAATCGATTCCCCCCTAAAGGAAAAATGAAATTGGGTTCAATAATTTGGCTTAAGTTGTTAACATCAAGTTTAAGGTTTAGGCTTCTGATAGTTGTTTTGAAATGTTATATTTATGTAGATATTGAGCCTAAACAAGTTCTGGAATAATCAAAGGATTAGAATTGATTCAAATCAAACAAGGCTAAGGTGAGTGTAATTTTAATTGTACTTATATTATTGAACGAACATTGGCTTGCGATGAGCCAATGATGGACTTACTATGGTAAGAAGTGACTCCTAAAATGTTATTTGATATGTGATTCTTATATGTACATGAATACATGATATGCATAAAC